AAACTTAAATTCCTCTTTGTCATACGCTTCTCCCCACTTTAATGTTTCATAAAATGTTACTCCAAACGAGTAAATATCAGCGCTCATCTTGTACTTTTCTCTCTTTAAAATTTCAGGCGCCATATATACTGGTGTTCCAACTCCTCTTGTAAATGTCATATTAGTCATCAGTAAGTTGATATTTCGAGCACTTCCAAAATCAGTCAATTTGGCATTAACCTTTTCATTGGTCTCAAGTGAAAATACCAATAAATTGTCAGGCTTGATATCCCTATGTACAATCCCATTTTTATGCAAGTAAAGTAACCCATTTGCCATATCATTTATAATCTTCATTTTCATTTCTTCTTGTATGACATTTTTATTGTTCTTCATCAAGTCATTTAAACTTCCGTATTGAGCAAATTCTGTGACCATACAAATCTTGTTTGGAATAAAGACAGCGCCATAAAAGTGGACTAAATAGTCACTTCTGAATTTGTCCAACATATTAACTTCCTTTTCAAATTCTTTGATTTTTATATCATCGTTGCACCCTTCTTTCATTTTCTTGATCGCAATTTTGTACCCTCTAAACTCACCTAAATACACAATTCCAAACGAACCTTCGCCAAGTCTTTTTTCTTCATGCAACTCATGATAGTCTAGGCGTGTTGTCATCTGTGTTTTTGCACTTATTGATATTTGTTCGACCATTTCAATTCCTTTATGAATGTCTAGACCGATACACACTATTTTATCTTCGATATTACATGAACACAATGGTGTTATAAATATTTCAAATTCACACGCTTCTCCCTTCTTTAAAATCACCAATGTTGGTTCAGTTCTGATATTGTAACTTTCACAACCTTTTATTACACTGAATTGTATTTTTATTTGATTTTTCGACTTGTTTCCAACACACAACAATTCGCGCGTTTCTTGACCAACTGGTATATCACTACTTTCATTGTCATCTCCAGCAAAAATAATTGTTTCTTTGTTAGATACAAGCCATTCATTTATTCCATAAAACGGGATATTTGATTTATTCATATCAAAAACACAAACATTTTGCATTTTCTTTTTGTTTCTAAAGTAAAGGTACAAGAAGTATAAAACAAATGATAATACAAAGACTATAATGATTAGCATAACAACGAATGTGACTAATAGACTAATAGCTAAAACCGTATTAGTTGTGTCTTCACATAATTTTCTGTCATAACTGAGTTTTTTACCTTGACCACATTTGGAACATTCACTATTAAACGACTCTATACAAAATTCAATGGTAGTAAAATGGACACATTTGTTATTAACATTAATGTTGTCTTGTTGACACGAATTACACGACAATTGATCTGAACACATTGAGCAATTTTCAATACACGTTTTGCAACGAGGAAATATTGAATCCAAGTAATACCCAACTTCACATCGTTTACAACCAAATTCTGTCTTATCTACACATCCAACAAGATTTGAATAATCTTGGCAGAGTAATTGTTCTGAGGGTATCAAAAAGAATCCCGATTTGCATGTAATACACGAATCGAGTGATTTGCAAACAGCACAGGTAGAGTGGCAATGAACACAATCACTTTGTTGTCTGTAATACCCTTCTTGACATATCGCACACCCAATCATATTCGGCATTTCTTTTTTGCACTTTT